GTTGTACAAACTGTAACAATATGTTCGAATAAACAGACCTGAGGCATGACCTCACCTTAACTTCAAAAAAAAAAAAATATAATATTTTAGAGATGTAATAATCTAGTAAAGTGGTCAGGTTATCAACTTTTCAAGTAGTAGATTGGGTGTTCAAATTCTATTAATAGTAAAAATTTGAATAATCATCTATATAATATTCATATTATAACAACTGTTACTAATAATTAGGTTAGAATATTTGTAATAGTGATTGCACTAGTATAACTAGTAGGTTATAAGACATCTGTGCAATATCAAAGTTATATAAAGAAATGCAAACTAATAAATCAGATGATACAAATATTAAATAAGTTCTTGTAACTTTATAAATTTATTAAAATTAAATAACAAGAAGTTTATTTAGAAAGATTTGAATAGAAAGATAGCTGGATCTTTAATAACTTTATTATAAAGACTAGTTTAGAGAAACAGATATTAAGATTATAGTACTTAGTTATAGTAGTAATATTGGTAAGAATCTCTGAGTTAAGAGTTTTGAAAGTATTATCAACTAGACTATCAAAATAAACTAGAGAAAAAGAATATTAGACTAATTTGATATACTGATAGACTGGTCATAGTTCTATATAAGCTATCTGAATTAAAGTTTAATAAAAAAACAAATAAAAAGATAGAGATATACTAAAATATCAGGATTATACTATAAAGTAGATATTGAAATCTAAGTGAATTCTACAAAAACATAATAGTTTAATAGTTAAGTCTTGATCACAAATGTTAGTTTTGTTATAATGATATCTAGATTAGCTATAAAAATAAATATAGAAAGCTTTGGAAGGTTTACCTTAAAGATAAAATAGTTCTAAGATTAAGATAATAATTTAGATATAATTTAGTAAAGTTAACAGATTTGCAGATTCTAAAGATTTAAAGTAGAATACCCAAATAGGAATATTAGGTATAACAATTGATAGGAAACCTTTAGGCAAACTCCTTAAATAAGTAATATAAAAAAGTTACATATGTAGTCAATTATATGCTTTTTTTATAGTGATTTACTAAACCACATTTACTATTATTAAATAAAGTTAAAAGACCCAAAAGGTTATCTTAATATCAAAAAAAATAATAATAATAATATTTATAAATATCTTATTAGTAATATTGTCTATTAAAAAAACATACTTGATTAAACCTGTTATATATTAATTGATGACACTATTAGATATATATAAATTGTTTAAAACTAGTTATATATCAGTTTATATTAAAATTAATATAATTTAGTAGAAATAATTAATATCAATATATATCTAATAGGTTACTAATTGCTATATATCTCTATATAAAATTTTTTAATTTTAATAAAGACAAAATAACTTTTTTTTGAAAATCTATTTTTATAATATATATATTTTATATAAATGAATTGCTTTAAAAACTTTATAATCATAATATATTTTATTAGTATTGACTAAAGCAATTGGTAAAGTAGATAAATGATAAACAAAAGACCTATAGACAGATTCTAGATATAACAACTAATATAAAATTTTTAAATAAACTACTTAAATTAAACAATAACTAAAGTTATATGAGTAACTAGTTGAATACTCTTTTTATAATTGTCTTTGTAATTGTTGTATAAATAACTATTAGCTAAAACATACTATTAATAAATTCTATATTATCAAATTTTTAAAATACAATAATTTCAAAAAAATTATATTTAACACAAAATATTGTAAAAGAATTTAAAAAACTGCACTGATCTTTAAATTTTATTAAAAAACTTCACAATATTATGATAATAAAAAATAATTAGCAAATCATTTCAATTATAATAATGATTAAATCATCAAATTTGAATAAGTATTTATTAAGATAACTTAAATATAATTCTTTTAAAATATTATGAATATTTTGTAATTATTTCAAAATATTTGTAATATTTTGAAAAAATTATGTTTGAGCTATCTTAACAAATACTATTCAAATTTAATGATTTAATTATCATTATAACTAAAATAACTTACTGATCATTTTTTATTATTACAATATTGCAAAGTTTTTTAATAAAATTCAAAGATTGGTACAGTTTTTTGAATTCTTTTGCAATATTTCACATCAAATGCAAATTTTTTTAAAATTATTATGTTTTAAAAATTTGGTGATGTAAGTTGCAAGTACTTAACTTAATATTAATAAAAATATATATATTTGCTATATATTGCAAATTCTAGTTACTACTAGTGCCTAAAGTTTCATACTTTCAGAAAGAAAAGATGCTTAATCCAAAAAATGTTGTTGATGTTTCTTTTGATAATTAGATAAATGCAATCCAGAAAGTTTGGAATCAGCATGACCAAGAAGATCGAGACCAAATAACAGCAACCAATTTGGAAGTATATAATTGTAAATGCAACAATAAAAAGAAAATCAAAAATCGCCTTGTATAATAGCTACCCTATTCCTAACTCTGAGTCAAGTGGCACTAATTATTCTATTGAAAGACAATGGAAATAATAAGTAATAATAGTGCGATAAATTATTACAAAAAAAAAAATATCTAGTTATTCAAGACCATCAATTCAAAAAAATTTTTTACCTTTCAATTAATTTAACCTAAAGTATAAAATAGCAACTTTCGTATTTTTAATTTAATTTATTTGTTCTATTGCTTAATATATAATAAAGCGTGTTTCTATATAGTAACAGTATAAATTATGGTAGTGCTCGGGCACCTTTAAAGTTACGGTAACGAATAAGTGCTTGAAAAAAAAAATCTCTAATAATATAAATGAATTATATTTGGATAAGCGTAATTGGTTAACCGATTAAAAAGCTTGTCTGACCAGCTCTAAATACTATTTAATGCTGAATAAATGATTCATTTAATGCTGTTGTGTTACATAAGAATATTGCATTCTGATCGAATAGAGTGGAAAATATAAAATAAAGCGTTGAATTCTCAATTTTGGTTAGAAATTATACTTGACCACAGTTAACATAACTACTTATATCATCACATAATTTCTCACTTCAATTTCTCTACAAAAGCTTGCATTTTTACTATCAGAAAATACTTCACAAAAATATTGTGCGATACTCAAAGTTTTAGTATTTGTAGTACTTGTGAATAAGGAATACGATATAAATGAAGATTTGTACGTAGTTGTGCACACAGGATAACGGTTTAGCATGTACATATTGTTATTATGTGGAATCAGAGCCAGTGGATTTTGTATTAGTAAAAATAGCACTAGTGATATCACGACAACCACGTAACCAAATCTGACCGAATTTTTAATCTGTTCTAGAATTTGAGAACAGCTGTAAACCTGAATCTGGATCTTATAATTAGATCCAGATATAAATAATCTTGTATAGAGGCTCAATTCAAATAAAAAAGGTTCAAAATTCAACAGTTTGAATAAGAGCTACCAATCTATATAGGGACTTATACTTCTTTATTGAACCGTATAATCATAATCCCTTAAATAATGTAACTTAAATAGTATAAAATGGCGACGCAGTGATACTACGTAACTGAGAGTTATGCTGTCATTCTGTAACACATTTACATTCTTTTCGAAGATCCAGGTTCTGTCTATACGGCTTTTTTTAGTGTTACTATTTTTAGGGGCGATATGACGTTGAGAGTGAGTTAATTTTCTAAAATGTCGAAAATTTTGCGCATTAAACCTCCTGAAAAATGCTTTTTTTATATTCTTATATTCCTGTATCACCAAAAATTCACCCCTCGGTTTTTAGATCCGATGATTCTTTATCGTTATAGAATATTTTAGGATAGAACCAAAAATGGATATATTAAGAACAAGAAAATACAAGATGAATTAGAATTATTTATTTATGAAGTTATCCAGAATTCTGGGTGCATGTAATGTTATCGAATACTTTCGACCCTGCAGCTAATTAATAACCTTTAAAGGAAATCATACTTTAATTATAAGAATTGTAAAATACATGATTAACGAAATTTAATCATAAATTTCCTTTGCGTTTAGTTACACTACATTAATTTCAAATTTGGAAAACTTTTAAGATGTTGTCATTCGCGACAACCCCTTTCCTTCTTTCAGGGCGACTGGTGGAGATATCCACCATTCTTTTCCTAATTGTCCGGTTTTTCTATACTATATTATCTTCGTCCTCTTCTTTGTTGTTTAATGAAAGCAACAACAAAATTAGATCAACCTTTTTCATATAGAACAGTTATTCATTTCAAATATTCTCGTTCAAACAGTTTTATAAATCCTACTTTCTTACATTGCCATCAATAATTTGAAATTTGAATTTGTTCCAACATGTCGTACAACAATGATGGTTATTATCAGCCACCTTACTCTTCGGCATCTTCAATGCAGACACCAACTCGTACTCCACCACCGATAGTCGATGCTCCAACAAACCCTTCAACAGCTATATTCAATGCTATATTACATGACAATGTAGGATTAGTTAGATCAATTTTGAACCAAACACATTATGATCTTAATAATCTTAGGAACAAAGATGGAAAAACTCCTCTTATGGTGGCTGCCTGTGAGAATTGTCCTCATGTTACTAGGTTTCTATGTAAACTAGACAATTTAATAATTGACTTTCAAAGTTAGTAAATTTTGCTTGGTTCTTTAAACTTTTGAAATACGTTTGATTTATCTTTATTTTTTCGTTACAGACAATGATGGTGATTCAGCATTGCACCAAGCATCTGCTGCAGGAAAAGTTGAAATCGTTGAAATATTGATTAATGCAAACGCGTGTGTCGATTTGTGTAATAATGTTTGTGCGAATTCATAACGAGCGTTCTTTAAATATGAACTTAAAACTCTATATTAAATTTAATCCTTTAAATACTTTTACTATTAGGAAAATATCACTCCGCTTATTGTCGCCGCTTATAATGGTCACGCTGACGTTTGTCAAGTTCTTATTGATCTCGGTAATGCAAATGTCAATTCCCAAGATAATTCACGTAAATCAGCTTTAACCTTAGCAGCTTATGAAGGACATATGGAAGTTATCAAACTTTTATTGTCTCGAGGGGCCGATGTCAACATTATAGACGAGGTTTGAATGTTTATTCATTTTATTAATTATAATAAATGAAATGAAAGTTTAACCTAAGTCTGATGACTTCACATAGTATGGTTGGACACCTTTGATGCTTGCGGCGTTTTCAGGTCGTTCAAATGTGTGTCATTTATTGTTAGAAAATAATGCTAACAGGCATATTACTGCAAAAAACGGTAAAACTGCTGTTGTTCTTGCAAGAGAAGCTGGTCATCATGGTACTGCGGATTGCATAGAAAATTATGTTTCCGGTGTCCCTCTACCTCTACCAAGTAGAATCCAAGCTCCTCCATCAAATATTGCTCCAAAGGACTCATCTGATCCAGTACCATATTCTGCTCCATATGCAAAAAGCGATTACTTCCATATTCCAATACCAAGTGTGGAAGACCCTTATTCATCACCAAGAGGATTTATGATGCCCCTTGAACGCAGAGATACTAGAAGATCCCTTCAGCCTAAAAATTCTAGCCGTCGCAAAACACTGTATGTTAATGTAGACGTAAATTCTACTGGAGATAAAGTGCCACATATCACCACAGCACCTCATGTAAGAAAAGACATGGCTCCTAGAGATAAGAAAACTTTATGGGTTTACTTCTCTTGGGCTGTCACTGCATGTTGTATAGGTCCTTTTTTGTCAGCATGTTGCCGAATGAAAGACCCTAATACTCGTCAGGCGTGGCGTGAAAAAGTAGCATTGTGTTTCATTATTTTATGTATCTCCTTATTTATGGGATTTTTGACATTCGGATTTTCACAATTTGCGTGTCAAATACAACGTCCTCTCTATCCACAAGAGATCCTTAGACTTTACGGTCCTGATGCACCAGGCATGAAAGTACATATTGTCCGTGGTCGACTTTATAATACTGGTGTTTATTTCTCTAGTGGTAGCCATCGTCCAATCTTCCCTTTTAATGATTCGGATTTATTTCCACTTGTCTCTGAAAGGTTTGGAAAAGATATTTCGGACTACTTTCCACCGGATAATCAAGCTTTAGGATGCAATATTATTCCAGTAAATAATGGTAGCATTTGCGATTTAGCTATTAAAACCGGTGACAATAGATATCATTGTCACACCTCTCCCGCTTCAAATGAAGTATTAAAAAATTTAGATTTAAACCTTTTCGTTGGGTATACGTGGGATAATATCAGTAATACTAAAAATAACTTGTTTGTATATAACGAGAACGTCTATGATTTGAGCGCATATTTAAATTTACAATCAGACAATCAGTGGTTTGGTAGTAATGCGACCGCTTGGCTTTTAAGTCTTGTGGGCCGTGATGCTACAATGGATATAATTCGTACCCAAAAAACCAAAGGTATTGCTAAATGCTTTGACCATTTTTTAGTGGGTAAAATTGATGGTACAACTATAGGATGTGTAGCAACAAGTTCAATTTTACTTATGATGACCATTATTTTTATCAGTATTACTTTGATCAAGTTCTTATCTGCCGTAGCTTTCGATTGGTTTTTATCATGGCAATTGGGTAAAATATCAAAGGTGCCAAAACCGGACGATGATATTACACATATATTATTATTGGTTACATGCTATTCAGAAGGCGAACAATCAATGCGCACCACACTTGACTCCTTAGCTGAAACCGATTACTCTGATAAACACAAATTACTATTCGTAATTGCTGATGGTAATATCACTGGTTCAGATAATGACAAACCGACACCACAAATTTGTAAAGATTTGTTAGAACCTTTTGATCCAACTGCACCTGCACCAGAACCTAAATCTTATCATGCTATTGGTGACGGATTAAGACAACACAATATGGCAGAAGTTAGTATAGGGTACTATGTTGCTGGCACCCATCGTGTTCCCATGTGTTTAGTAAATAAAATTGGAACCGAACTAGAAAGGAAAGGTCCTAAAGCTGGTAACCGTGGAAAGCGCGATTCTCAATTAATATTAATGAAATGGCTTAGTCATATTTGCTTTGATGAACGTTTGACACCTTTGGAATTTGAATTGTTCGAAAAAGTTCGTACTCTGACCGGCGTAACACCTAACGCATACGAAATGGTTCTTATGGTGGATGCGGATACGTCCGTTAAATCTGATAGCGTTAGTCACATGGTTGCAGCTATGGAACGTGACCCAAAAGTTATGGGACTTTGTGGTGAAACAAAGATTGCAAATAAATCTACTAGTTGGGTTACCATGATTCAAGTATGTCAAAAAGTATTGAAGAATCCTATAATATTCTTAATTTATGATAGCTAACAAAATTAACCTAATTTAGGTATTTGAATATTATATTTCGCATCATCTAGGGAAATCCTTTGAATCGATTTTTGGTGGTGTTACTTGTTTGCCTGGATGTTTCTGCATGTACCGTATCAAAGTGCCAAAGTATGATGGTCACATGGTACCAATCCTTGCGAATCCAGATATTGTAGAAGTATATTCTTCAAATAACGTAGAAACGTTACATCAAAAAAATTTACTACTTCTTGGAGAAGATCGTTATCTTACAACCTTAATGTTACGAACATTCCCAAAACGAAAGATGATATATGTACCCAGCGCTATATGTAAAACTGTAGTACCAGATAGTTTCAAAGTTTTACTATCACAACGCCGACGATGGATTAATTCAACACTACATAATTTAATGGAACTTATTTTGGTACCACAACTTTGTGGTATATTTTGTTGTTCTATGCAGTTTGTAATTTTCTTGGAATTGGTTGGAACTGTAGTATTACCTTCATCACTCTTGTTTATGATATATTTGGCTTTTTCAGCTATGCGTGGTAGTGACGTATCAGTGCCCCTTATATTTATAGCATCCACATATTTTTTACAAGCTTTTTTGATAATTTTTACGTCACACCGACCTGTGTACATTATGTGGATGATCGTATTCATACTTGCTACACCTATATGGTATTTCATATTGCCATTATATGCATTTTGGCATTTCGATGGTATGGGGTTTTTTTTTTTTTTTTAAAAAGAAAAAAAAGAAAAATTACAGCCTTTATTGACAATTTTCATTTATTAGATTTTTCATGGGGAGCAACTCGCAAAATCACAGGTGAGGATAATGGGCATGGCGGTAATGATTTTGATCAATTTGACTCTGCTAAAATTCCGATGAAAAAATGGGCCCAATGGAAAGCCGAGCAAATGAACATAAGTGAAAAAATAATAGTTGATGAGTACAGAATTAATAGAAATAATAACAATAAAGGACTTACAACACCACAAAAGGTTCCCTTATCTGAAAGACATAATCAAATGAACAATTTACCACCTGGTGAAAATAACGGGGAAACTACGAAACAAACTTCACGTGATTATAAGTATACTGGTAGAAAACCAGTTGGTGAACTACAGCCTTCAAATGGACATAGATTTGATAGCAGGAGGCCAGTTGGTGGACCATCACAAGCTATAGCATTTTCATCTAGTGATGTGTCACAAAATATAGCTCCATCACCAGGCCATAATGGGTCTCAGTCTAGGTCACTGCCTAGAGTACCTTTATCTAGAACAAATTTTGAAACGAATGGAAAGCCTATTGGACCTAGGTCACCTGAATCCAATAAAAGTTATGGTGACCCAAGTATAGTTTAATCTTTTTTTAAAGACTTTTATTAATTAGGTATACTGTTTAACATATATATATATATATGAGAAATATGTAATTTAATCTTTTTTTATATATAGAATGTTAAAACAATTTATATATTATTTGTAAATTATACTGTGAAATATAACCCTTTTTTTTTAAAGAATAAATTTGTCACCAGGGGTGACAGTATTAAACCAATCAGATACGCGTTACAGAATTGGATCAGTACTATTTTACTAGCATTTTTTTTTAAGTATATAAAAGATAGCTCAATAATTTTTCGTAGAGATGTTAACAGCCCAATCCGGTTCAGTCATTTTAGGTAGGGTTCCCATAACAAATTGTTCACCCTTGCAATTAGCGGGCATTCTATTGGCGAGCTATCATAGATATACATATACCCAGTGTAGGGATGTTAAATTATGAGTCTAGTCCTAGTCCTAGGACTAGAGATCTGATCTGGTCAAAAAACTAGCGATTCGGATATTCACTTGATCAAATCTATTTTATCCGAATAACTGATGAAAAATTCGAATAAATTTATTCGATGACTTCGATGATATTCAATATATACTTTAGTTATTTCATATTTCGACTTCGTTGAATAATTATCCGAATATTCAGTGAATATTTGGATATTCGAATATAAGATTATTTCATCAAATTAAGAACTTTCTCAAACGCCTTATTTAGCGGAAAATATTCTAAGAGGTCAAATGTGTTTATTATCATAACGAATATTTAAATAAACATCGTAGTTTAATAAAGCCTATTATGTAATTAATATATTTTTATTAGTAAAAAAATATAAGAGTTTATCATTTCAACTTACAAACATTGTAGGCATGGTAAAATTTACAATAAATTGGATATTCCAAAAAATCGCACAAGTGACCTATCATGCAACATACGAACTAAACGTAGTGATAACGACATTTGATAAAATATTAATGGATCATTCAAATATCAATTACAATTCTTATTTTGATTGATTATAGTAAATGAGTATCGTCATGTTTATTAGTTAATTACCGAGAATAACGTTTGTGCAAACTTTGATCACTTATTAATTTGCTTACTCGTTTCGTTATCAAAAATATAATTATAGCTGTGCTCGATTACGATTATGAGCTAATCGCTTTGAGGTTGAGGCTCGAGAACTTCCTAAGTCTACTTAAATGACCCTAGTACTCAAATGATTAAAGTTGCATCGTTATTATTTTAATTTACAATATTTAAATTCATTACGTACTGTGTATCACCGAATTTTCACTGAATTAATCGGTGAATAAAAATATATATTCGATATTTAATTTAATTTGATGAAATAATCATATATTCAACGGATCAGACCTCTCTACAAGGACTAGAAATTGACCGTTACTGCCGAATCAAAACTTATCGAATCGGCAAATATTAGGTCGGCCAATTTTTTGCCAGATGTCCCAGAATTTATGAAAACAGCTGTAACATCTGAATCCGGATTTAATTGTTACAGCTGTTATCATTATTTCTGAAACACCTAGTAAAAATCACCAAATGATTTTTCGGCCGATTCGGTTAAGTTAGTGATCGGTATCAGGCATATAAATTACACATTAAACAAAAATTTAATGTGTCGAAATTTATAATGCTGAAATTATCAATAGAACTCTTTAATATATAGAGTGGAAAATTATTGTAATTTGCGTAATTTTTACAAGTTTCTGACATGTAATTTTTGATGTGAATAAAATTGGCCAAAACTTTCATAGAGCTGCACATAAGTATAGTAATGCTGCCAAAACTTCTGTAATGCAGGTGTTCTAATTAACTGTCCTAGCGTTACCAACCTAAAACATTTCACTGATAGATTAGATTGAAGTTTTGCTATTAATTTAGGTCAGGAAGAGTTTCTCTAACACATGCTATAGTAGAGCAAATCCAATTCTGTGAATAGTGTAGTTTAAAATTATGTTGACATTTTATCGTTATTAGTTAAAAAATCTAATTTGGCAAATCAATGGCAACGGCACGTGCCATATTATTTGACGTGATTCTGTAGTGCCGTAATGCGAAGCAATTCTTGAAGCATGAAAAAAATTCATATTACAAGAATCAGGTGTAACGTAATACGATCAGTAATGCTTACTAGAATGTCTTAGTAGAAAATTAATCAACAAAATTACCAACTAATCGACTCAAAACACTAGAATTCACCAAAGACGATAATATGTGAACTTCATAAAACCAGTGTTGACCTTTGATCTGTTATAGCCTATTAGATAATTATAAGTTATAACCTTATAACCAATTTGAAGAATCATTGATTGTATTATAGATCAAAGAAGCTCCAAGAAACGATAACAGCACTATATAAAACAACACAAAGATAGACAAGTGAAATAAAGATGTTGATTTATTAACCTAAAATAGGGTTGGCTCTGTCATTTTCCATGATATATGTGATGAAAAGGTAGAACCGTGGTGATGATGGGAAATTCACGGTATTAGAATTATCGGTGGATATAGCCAATCATGTTATTGAAATATTAAAGATAGTTTCTGTTTAC